AAAAAAAAAAAAAAAACTGGGTCGAGTCACCTTAAACTTCCTTTGTTTCAGCAGAGACGCATGCGGAATAAAAACTAAATCGTTTGTCCCAGCAACCGATACTGTCGATCAGCGTCCTAATGTATCTCCATTTTTAGTGATCTTTGCGGAACTAACATCAACCTTCTTTGTTCACGTTCTTAATTGAATTTTTTTTCAAATTCTTCTGAAAGGTAGACGAGCAAAGTTTGAAGCGAAAAAAATAACAAGCCATGATATCATCTGTGAGTACATCACCTGGCTAGCTGTATTCCTTACCATGTCTGTTGCTATAGTATACCAGTGAACCTTCTATCAATTGTTCTTTTTATAAAAAAAAACCGCAGTCTTCGCACTCGTGCCATGTACCTAGTTATAAACCTGACCATAGTTGATATGTTTGTCGGAGGATTTTCTCACTTTTCCGCAGGCATTGCAGTAATTTCATTGAATCGGATGCATGCAACAATTCGTCCCTATAGAGCCCTTAGGCATCGCCTCATTAAAAAGTGAGTCTACGGGGTAACAATTGCTGCCCTTTTCTGGGTTTTACCTGCAATGGTTATTATACTAATCCTTAAGAATCGAATGGTTAACCAAAGTCCTATATTTAGCACATCTAGTGGACCTTCAGTCTTTTCATGTGGTAGCCCGGGGCACCCAACGACTGGTTTCTGTGAAATAGCTGTTCGAAAAAGCACGGCTATCATCTAAAGATTTCTATAGCTCGAAAAACGTTAAAAATTCATAGATGAATGCCGGTATCATTCATCTCAGTTTTTCAAAGGGTTTTCAGTCTTTTAACTCCTCTGATTGAAGTTGGGAATGAGATTTTCACTTTTCACTTGTCTTCAAATATTTGGTCATCATTCGCAAAAATGGACTACTTACAATAAATTTTGGGCTTTAAAATCAGTAACGGAAAGATGTACATCGGAAAATGTTGAGTTTTCTGTATATTTAATAGATTTTCGAAAAAGTAAAGCGCTAATAAATTCGCATCGGCTGAAGAAGCCCAAGGATGACCAAACAGATACAAATTTTTGTAGAGTTTCCTAGAATGCATTTGCGGAGCTGCTTTTTAAAACAACAGTCTTAAAGATATCCTTGAATGGTTTGAGTAAATTTTGGAGAGAGGCGGCATCGGATATGGTGGACGGGTTGTAGAGCGATGTTTCTCTCCTCCTCACTAAAATATATACTTACCTAAAAATACTTGCAATGGAAAATGTTAAAATACAACGATTGTCCGAGCTAAGCCGCGACTTAACGCCTACTTCAGTCATATTTTTATGGGACATTTCAGCTCCTTTAACCGAGTGAAATTGTTCACGAAGAGTTTGCATGAAAGATTTAATTTTTTTCCGGTCTCACTATGGACATTTGATTGTCTGAGAAGGGTAACTGAAATGATAGTCACATTTTCATTTTGGTGATCTCTTACTCCCTATATGCCAAACAGACCTTCAATATTTTTAAAGAGCGAAATAAGAATGTTAAAAAAGTATTAATGTAATAGATTCCAATACAATTTTAGCCACAGTTAGATTGTTAGTTAACTAGTTAGTTAGTAGTACCCTTTGCATTTTACCACGAACATTTTTTGCTTCTGATGTAATAACATTATGTTTAGCTGTATATAATTATCAAGCCGGATTTTTGAAAATGTTATCGTCCATGCAGTTTTCCGTCCATGCAGTTTTTTTCGGCCAAAAACTATATCCAAAGTAGCTCATTATAAAAAGTAAGAGTGCAACCATTGCTTTTTTTTCTTCTCCTCCTTTTCCTGATCTCCTCGCTCTTTCTTTTTCTCCTTTCCTTTTGCTTCGTTACTGTGATTTTGGAGCCGTTCTCGGGCTTAAGAAAGCTGCTTTTTGACGCCTTTTCAGTCAAATGACTGCAAATTTCGTTAGGTTGGTTTCCCAAAAATCGGTTAGATATACTATAATATATTTTATCAGCAGATGTAGAGCCATTTTCTTTGGAAATGCTGTAAATAAACCACTACCATTATTATAATAATAATAATTATTATTATACTCAGGTGAACGAGCGCTGACGTTAATTAGTTTTAAAAATATTCAGCTGAAACGAAATTTAATGCCCTCAGCTTTTAGTCAACCAATTTATCCTAATTTCCCCTCAAACGTCACTGATATTTTTTCCACAGGTGAAAACAAGGGTTTTCACTTCAGCTCTTGTGAAGGCAATTTGAAAAACTGTAAGTTAAAGGTGAGCTTCCTAATTCGTCGAATTATTAGAGATATGTCCAGAAATCACGCATTGGCGAAAATGGCAGAAATGGCAATTAATCGCCAAAATCGCCAAACTATAAACAAAAATTCAAATGAGATGGCAAAGGGGCCCTTTGCAAAGTGGCGATTTTGGCGAAAATGGCGTATTTGGCGAAAATGGCAGAAATGGCACTTAATCGCCAAAATCGCCAAAAATCGCCATTTTCGCCAAAATCGCCAGCCTCCAAGGGGCCACTTTTGGCATCCAATTCAAATCGCCAGCGGCTGGCAATTTTTCGCCAGTTTCGCCATTTTCGCCATTGCATGCATTTCTGGACATAAGTGAATTATTATTCATGTATCTTCATTACTGATCTTTGAAAAACAGACATCAACCTTGTTTGTTCACCTCCTACTTTTCTTTTCTAAGTAATCAAACTTTATTCAGTTCAAATTCTTTCTAAAGGTAGATGAACAACAGGAGAAAACGTGGAAAAGTGTGAAGCAAAAGAAGTAAAAGAAAACAAGTCATGCTATTTTCTTCATCCGAGTGCATCACCTGGCTCGCTGTAACCCTTACCGTGGGTGTTGCTATAGTAACAGTGAACCTTCTATCAGTCATTCTTTTTATAAAAAACCGCAGTCTTCGCACTCGTCCCATGTACCTAGTTATAAGCCTGACCATAGTTGATATGTTTGTCGGAGGATTTTCTCACTTTGATCTATTTCGATTGTTCGTAAACATATGCGACATTGTGAAAATGAACCTAAGCCAGGAACTGGATGCGATAATTCACTTTCTTTTCATCTGGTTTCCTCTGACCTCTCTAACAAACATTGCAGCGATTTCATTGGATCGGATGCATGCAACAATTCGTCCCTTCGGGCATCGCCTCATCAAAAAGTGGATCTACGGGGTAACAATTGCTGCTGTCTGGGTTTTAGCTGCAATGATGACTGCGGCCAGGTCAATCCCTCTACTACGATATAGAAAATGGCATAAATATGCTTTTTACGTATGGTCATCATACTGTTGTTTGTGTCTATTTGTTATCTGTGTTTCTTACTCTTCCATTGCTGTTAAATTTTTGTGTGGAGCGCATCCCCAGCACCATGGTGCAGCCAACAGGCAAAGGAAACTGACCGTAACATTATTCATAATGACTATTATATCCTTACTGATGTGGGTACCATATACGGTTTTTGTTTTTCTTTCATCTATTTTCTTTCAATCCCTTTCTTTCCAGGAATATGTACGTTTGACGTTTTCTTTAAATATTCTATATTTGATGAACTCGCTTGTTAATCCTATTGTTTACACAATCAGAATTCCAAAGTTTAGGAAAGCTTTCCTGTTGTTATTTAAATGCCAACGAAGACAAAATGCCCAAGATATTCCTCTTCATGCGCTTTAATGTACTTTGTTTAACACTTGGAATCCAACTAATGATTTCGTCATCTTCATCAAAAAAAAAAAAAAAAA